GTTTGGCTCAGTGGATAGAGAGTCAGCCTCAGGACGAAAGTTTTCCAGGTTTGATTCTGGTCATGTACCTCTGCTGCAGGCTCCTCCCCTGCCTGGGCCCTGGTCAGGATGCGTGCAGGAGGCAACCATCCGATGTACATCGATATTTCTCTCTGTCTTTCCCTCTCCTTTCCACTGTCTCTAAAAATCAATGGAAAAATGTCCTCAGGTGAGGATTAAAACACACACACACACACACACACACACACACACACACACACGGAATTGACATTTACAAGTCTATATATATGATTTGGCTTATGAATGCACAAGATCTGGAAGGACAAACGACATGGGCATGGATGAGAGGGATACTTTTTGTAATGTAGTATTTTATGCTTTTTATGTTTTGAGAAATGTTATGTAGAAAAAACGTTATAATGAAATTTATTTTGTGCTTATTTAGACTAATATAAATTTGATAAGAGGGATGTGGAGAACATATACAAAATATAAAGAGATTATTAAAAAATGTTTTTAGCTGAAACCGGTTTGGCTCAGTGGATAGAGCGTCGGCCTGCGGACTGAAAGGTCCCGGGTTCGATTCGAGTCAAGGGCATGTACCTGGGTTGCGGGCACATCCCCAGTAGGAGATGTGCAGGAGGCGGCTGATCGATGTTTCTCTTTCATCGATGTTTCTAACTCTCTATCTCTCTCCCTTCCTCTCTGTAAAAAATCAATAAAATATATTTAAAAAAATGTTTTTAAAAATGGTTGCTAATGCATACTACTAGTTTTTAAAAAACATATTCTAATGAGCTCAAGGATTTCCCCATGTATTAGTATTATTATTGATTTCAGAGAGAAAGGGAGAGAGAGAGAGAGAGAAACATCAGTGATGAGAATCATCAATCGGCTGCCTTCTGCGTGCCCCCTACTGGAAATCAAGTCTGCAACCCGGGCATGTGCCCTGACTGGGAATTGAAGTGTGAACTCCTGGTTCATGGGTTGATGTTCAACCACTGAGACACGCCAGCTGGGCTTTGCATGTTTGGTTTTTATAAACAATACTACCATGGACATTCTTGTGTATGTCTCTTTGTACACACAAGCATGCATATCAGCTGGGACAATACACAGGAATATAATTATTGGGCCATAGGGTATGTATATGTGCAACTTTCATAAGAAACGAGTCAAACTAGTTGTATCAGTTTGAACTCTCACTAGCATTGTATGAAAATACCTGTTGTCATTGCTTGTATTGGCAGTCTTTTTAATTTTAATCATTTTGGTGGATATACAGTATTATGACATTGTGGTTTTAATTTGCATTTCCCTATTATGAGGAATATGGAACCATTTCATATATGAGCCTTTTTAATGTATTTTTGGTGAAAATTCTGTTCATTTCTGTCTCCTCTTTTCCTTTTTGGATTACTGCATTTTTAAAATTGATCTATAGGAGTTCTAGATATATTTAGATTACAATAGGCCTTTGTCAGTTAAATGGGTTGCAAATATAACCCAGAATGTTTTGATTTGACTCTCTTAATGGTGTCTATTGATGAATAGATATTCTTAATTTTTATTTAATCCAATCCAATCAATAATTTTTTTGACTCATTCTTTTTTTGGTACTCTTTAAGAAATCTCCTCTTACTCCAAATCATGATAAAATTATCCTATATTAGTTGTGTTCTTTGCCTTCCACAATGTCTACAAGTTACAGGGAATTGATATTTGTTTATGATGTGAGCTGGAAGTCAGTCCTTTTATTTATTTATATGGATATCCAGTTGGTCCACAATTTATTGAAAATAAGATTATTTTCCCACAGGTTGCAGAGCTACCTTGCCATAAATCAAGTGTCCATATGTGTGCTGTGCTGTGCATTTCCTTCCTGCTTGTGGAAAATATTTTCTTCTTCATTGAATTGGTTCTAGGGACCCAGATATTATGATCCCAAGTTAAAATGTACTGCCACCACCCCTGAAACATTTTCAAAAGAATTAGCTGTAGCAATGCACGTGCTCGATTAAAGGTTGAGAAATCTGGATGTGCCTTTGCTCAAAAGACTGGAATTAAGAAGATAAAATGCAATTGCTGGATTAAAGGTTAAGTACAGTTTCAAGACTAATATTGTGTTGATCAAGTACAGTTTCAAAAGTTGTACCAACTGATGGTCCCCCTGGTAATATATGATAGTGTTCTACTCGCCACACCTGTATTGGATATGATCACTGAGTATTTTTAAATATTTGAAGGAATATTATGCAGTCTTTAAAAAGATGACAATTCAGATCCTTAACACCTGGGGAAATATTTATGACAGTAGTCAATGCAAATAGCAGGATCCAATTACAGTCAAAGATAGGGAAGTAACAGTTTGTGGGCATTTTTTCCTCTTTCAAAATTTTCTTTAATTACCGTTTTACAACATGGGAATAAGAAAAATATTCCAGAATGCAAGAGGGCTGGGCCTTGTGTCAGTTCTCAAACAGACTTAAGCCCCTCTAAACAAAGAGGAATATAGAGAATTAAGGAATTTGCAATCCCCGATGGGTGTGAAGGGTCTTTAGGAGTGGTTCTCGGAACAATGCCACAGTACAGCCAAAGATGGAGACACTCAGGAATCCAGTTCAGGAAGCCACCACCCCAATGGCTGAACCCAGGATCACATTTTCATAGCAATGGGAAGATGCAGAATATACCACCTCACTTCATAATGCTCAGCTCTGCCTGTGTGATAGCTGGCTTCAAAGATGCTACCAGTGATCTTTCCTGGTTATTCATGTTCTTGTAAGTTTGCTTCCACAAGGACTTACAAGGACCCACTAGAGTACAGCGGAAATGACAGTGTGTGGCTTGTAGGACCCACTAGAATACAGCAGAGATGACAGTGTGTGGCCTCTAAGCCTGAGTCATAAAAGGCATTACAGCTCTGCTGAGCCTCTGGGATCACTAGCTTTGGGGGAAGCCAGACGCCATGCCGTGAGGATACTCAAGCATCTCTGTGAAGAACCCACATGAAGGGGAACACAGGCTTTCTGCCATGTGAGCGGACCGCTGTGAAAACAGAGCCTTCAGCCCCAAGATGACTATGGTCTCAGCTGATTTGACTGTCATTTCAATAGAGTCTCACCAAGATACTCCTTAATTACTGACCATGGAAACTGTGAGAATAGATCACCATTTTTTTTTTTTTTAAGCCATTACATTTTGGCTTGTTACACAGCATTAGATACATACAATATTTATAACCTTCCATCCAATAGTCTCCATATTCTGCTTTTCTTCTCTTTTTTACACTCCTCATAAAACAACTAAATTAATAGCAAACTAATAAATAAATTGTTCATATTATTCTCTTTTCAGATGCCTTCCTTTTTCCTTCTTGTCTATTCTCCAAAGTCCTGCTCAATCTCTATGAAATATTTAATTTATTTATTATTTTTCAATTACAGTTTACTTTTAAAAAAATTGATTTCAAAGGAACGAAGGGAGAAGGGGAGATAGAAACATCAATGAGAGAGAATCATTGATTGGCTGCCTCCTGCATGCCCTCTACTGGGTATTGAGTCCGCAACCTAGGCATGTGCCCTGACAGGGAATCGAACTGTGACATCCTGGTTCATAGGTGGATGCTTAACCACTGAACCATGCCAACCGGGCTTGACTATGATTCTTTGACAGTCTTTTCTTCAGTAGTTATTTTATTTTATTATTTATATATTTATTTTCCTTCAGTAGTTTATTGCTGTTACATCAGAATACCCCATATCATTTGTTTTTATTTACACATATTATTTGTAAAGATAAAAGATGATGTTTCTTCTGTGTTTTCCATAGCACCTTGCATGATGCCACATATGTGGCAGTTATTCTAGTCAAATGACTTAATTTTTAATAAGCCACCATCTACTAGCATAAAAATCTGAAACAGTACTTTCTCAGTCAATGCTTAAATACAATGCTCTATATTCACACACACACACACTCCTAGTACCTTTATGCAATTCTCTAAAATGCTCACAGTAGCTTATATGGTACTGATAGAAAAAAAAGGAAGATGTATAAACCAGAATGTAGATCAAAACCATCTTTTATAGCTTACTAAGCAATACCCTCTGTGGGTTACATAGCCTACATTATTCAAGTTTGAATTTTGATTTTTGAAAACAGAGCTGTGTTTTGGTATTCAAATCTGTGTGAAATTTTAGTTTTCAAAGTAAGAAATAAAAGGTAGATAACATCAAACGTAAGAGATAAAAGACTTCTGACTTATAACTGTCACATGATTAAACCAGTGGTATTCAACCGAGGCCTGGCCCAAACACAGCTTCCTGGAGGTGATCAGGGTTATTTAAAGGGTTTGACTCAAATTTTGTTTTTATAAGTATGCTAGAGGCCCAGTGCATGAAATTTGTGCACGGGTAGGGTCTCTAGGCCTGGCCAGTGATCAGGGACGATAGGGGCCTTCTGGCTGCTGTCTGGGGCCTTTGCCAGCTGCTGGCTGCCAGCTGGGGCCTTCCTTTGTTCCATGCCACCTCCTGGTGGTCAGCACACGTCATAGCGAGCGATCGAACTCCTGGTCGAACTCCCAAGGGGACACTTTGTATATTAGCCTTTTATATATCTAGATATTTAAAAAATGTAATAAAAATGTACATCCTAATTTGTTACATACCCCAAGTTTTCCATACTGGAGACTGCTTATGTATTAACTTCTCCTACCAGGATAATTTATTTTGGTATCAACCTTGGAATACACCTTTAAGAACATTCTGATAAGTATGCTTAGAACCTGTTATTATTTGCACTTACATACGTTTGTGTGAATCAAAGTTTTGACAGCATGCAAATAAAACAAGGGATAGAAACTGCTGAAGCTTTTCACCAGCTATTGATAACCCCAATTTCATATCTGTGTTATTCAGAAATGGACCAAAATAAATGAACATAAATGTGAACTTCAAACGCATTTATACTAATGAAATAAACTTTTCAGGCTTTCGGTATTGGGGGTACACAAAATTTTATTTAAAAAAGATTCTAGGCTAAAAATGTTTGGAAAAGAGTGCTCCACAAGAAACTGCCTTTTAATGTAATTTGTTAATACAATGTTCAATGTCTGAGACAAACTTAAGACATTTCAATTCTTAAATTCTTCTGCACAATGGGAACATTTCTACAAATCAGAGTGCTACAGATCTTCAAAAATGGTAACTTGTAATAAAAAATTACACTAAAAAATTCATAACTGCTTAGACTCTTTCGATAGGCAGCTTTAAATAAGATTTCTATTTTTTAATTAATGTGTATGGTGTTTTAATCTAAAAATATGGCCCTCCTCCACATGACACAATTTCCTATCATCACACACCAAACTGCATTGTGTTCAGGCACATTTCAGTGATTTTAGATTTTATGTTGTGGTTTCAGTATGAAATAGCTTGCGCACGCCAAACTCAAACAATCTCTTTATTTAAAAATCCACCTCAAAATTCACTTCTGGGTTTTAGCCTTTGTTTGAAAAAGAAGCAAACATTTGAAAGCATCAACTGTTACTAATCTAAAATTCATCATCTTGTTATGCACATTTTTAGTTTGTGGATCAGGGAAACAAACCCATTATATTGATTAGGCACAGAACTATGGCCAGAGGCCAGATATCAGGGCACATCTGTGTACTCAGGCAACAGAGGTCTGAATGGAGGGGGTCTTGCCTCAGCCATGGGCACTACAATCTCTATGCCCCCTCTAACAACTGTTAGTAGATCTTAAATCAATACATAAGAGATTGTATGTCATTTAGTTAACAAACAAACAAACAAACAACTCTGCTTTCTAAATTACATAGCAAAGCCAAGACAGATACAGATAATTGTAGCTTCACTATAATTTGTGGTCTTGATATCATGTATAGGTGAGACAGAATTATATAATTCCTCTGGTGGTTTCAGAAATCTGGTTGAAAGAGGTCCATGACTATAAGATTTCACATTGTAGCAAGTCTCCAATATTTCTTGAACTGGGACAGTGAATATAAATCACAGTACAAAATCCTTATTTTTTTTTTTTTAAACTGGAAAAGCAATAGGTGCTACATATGAGAATCACTTACATAACATCTTTGTTTAATGCAGGTATAAAATATTAATTGCATAGGAATTTAAATATAAGGCTAAGAAGAATATTAAGTAAAGTTAAAAAATCATAGAAAGGGCACTATGGTGTCAAAAGATAGAATTTCATTCTTAGAGTAATAACTCTGAATTACTGTCTAATTAAAAAAAATCACAGTATGTTGCTATAACTAACAGTGAATGTCAACTATGTCATTAATTCCAAATTGAAAATCAGGACTAACAAGAGCAAACTAAAGCTCACTGTCTAAACCTGACTGGTGTATTAGCACCTCAGTGCCTGGTGCGTACCTGATTAGTCACATAAACTACAATTTGCAAATAATATAAAGTTCAATGCATGTTAACAAGTGTGAGAGCACATCATCACCTCATGCCATCAGTGATCTGTAGGCTTACTTGGTAGTGTAATTATTCAGTCTTTCCGAGGTACAAGATCCCACCCGGCAGAATCTTCACTCAGTGAACTAAGAACACTGTAATTAACAAAATATAATAAAGTTCTACACTGAGAACTAACTGTACATGAACCAGAGAACCAGTCCTAATAGTAGTATACATATTATCCTTAGCATTTGAGAAAGCAATGAATGATGAGTCCAACTGTACTCTGTAGTTTAATGACTACCACCTGCAGTTTCAGGTAGAAAGGTAAATTGTGAATCTACTTTCTCATCTTAGCATTACACTGAAGTTTAAAGAGACATTTACAAACCTACAAGTAGCTTAGTTAACTTAGTATTGCCATCTAGAGTAGTGTGAGGAAAAACAAACACTTCCCAAGGAATTATGTTAAGGTACATTTGCGAATACCCCAATCAATGTCTTAAATGAAAAAGTGCATAAATACAGTAATACTACAGCTGTGTTAACTATGGAACCAATTTTTTTCTGGGAGCTAAACAATACTATTTCCCTACATTTTTTTTTTTTTTTTTACAGGTTATGAACTGTTCAGATACCATGAAGCACCAGTGACAGTGTAAATTGCTTGATTACGTCTGAAAGGTCCTTTGACTTCAACTAGAGTAAACTCCAGGATCTACCTGGAGTTTAAGGGTCAAGTTGTCTTCAAACAGGATTTATCTGTACAATTCCGTTCTCTTTTGTTCAGACACAGCCGATCAATATATTCATTTCACACTCTTGGTTGGTGTGTCGGATTCTGTGGACTGTCTCCCGTCTGTCCAGGCTTCTCGGGTGCTCTTCAGAGCTAGGGTCTTCTGTTGGTCAACTACAACATAATCCACTCTCTCATCTGCTACATTGCTTCCTGAGCCGCTGATCTTTTGCTAGAAAAATGCAAATTAAAAAAAAAAACTCATAAATATTCACATAGAAAGGAGTGCTTCTGAGTGAAATTTGGTCTTAAGCCCTGGCTGGTGTGTCTCAGTGGTTAGAGTGTCAGCTTGCGCACTGAAAGGTTGTGGTTTCAATTCCTAATCAAGGGCATATACCTGTGTTGCAGGCTCAATCCCCGGCCTCAGTCTGGGTGTGTGTTGGATGGAGGCAGTCAATCGATGTGTCTCTGTCACATCGAAATCTCTCTCTCTGTCTCTCTCTCTCTCTCTCCCCCCCTCTCTAAAAAAATCAATGGAAAAATATCCTCAGGTGAGGATTAACAATAATAACAAAAAATTCAGTCTTAAAACACAGATAAACATGCAGAATAAATAACTCTTGAAATTCTATTTGATCACACACACAAAAATATCACCTCAATTTAACAATGTTGTCTGTCTCTTAACTGTACATTGTTCTTCCTTCCATTTAAAATTATCATCTATAATAATAAAAGCATAACATGCTAATTAGACTGGACGTTCTTCTGGACAAGCCCGGGTTCTGAGTGCCTGCCAGTAGCCGGAGGGAAGCCCGGGTCCCAGGTGCCGGAGGGAAGCCGGTCCTGGCAGCCGGGGGAAGAAAGGCCTACTCTTGCACAAATTTCGTGCATTGGGCCTCTAGTATATAATAAGAATTCAAACTAATGCTCCCCATCACAGATGAAATTCTTATAAAGTAGGGATAGCAGACACCTGGTTCATCTTAAGACACACAATTTGCTTCTAGAACCCTTTAGCCTTTAGCTTAAGCTTAACTTTTTCAAGTTCTGAGAACATGTGTCAGTGCTTACTTTCAGAAGTGAAGAAAAGTTTTTTTGAAAAGCAGTATTTTCAAGAATGACAAACTACACAGGCAGATGGGCTGGCCCTCTTACTCCTAAAATACAACTAAACACTAGCTAACTTAAAACAAAAATAATAATATTATTTTTTAAAAATATATATTTTTATTGATTTCAGAGAGGAAGGGAGAGTGAGAGAAAGAAATAGAAACATCAATGATGAGAGAGAATCATTGATGGGCTGCCTCCTGCACGCCCCCCACTGGGGACTGAGCCTGCAATCTAGGCATTTGCCCTTGACCAGAATCGAACCCGGGACCCTTCAGTCCGTAGGCTGATGCTCTATCCACTGAGCCAAACCAGTTAGGGCCAAAAACAATTATTAATGCATTGTTGGGCTTGCTAGACAATAAGGAAAATACCCAGGGTGTGAGGGAAGCAGAGGCAGCAGAGGTCTGCTAAATGGTAAAGGCAGTGCTGTCTTTAGGATGGATGTCAATCTCTGCAAGGTTAGGAGGCGCTGGGTGGGAGGGCATGCTGAACCAGGTCTATTCTGTTAAGTTCGGGAGCCTTGAAGGAAACTGACTTGGTCCTAGCATGGGAGCACCACGGCTTCCTAGCAGAGGCCAATGCAAGATTCCCACAGATAGCCTCAGCAAAATAAATTCACAATAACAATGTATAAAACACACAAGGGGCCCTAGCCGGTTTTGCTCAGTGGATAGAGCATTGGCTTGCGGACTGCAGGGTCCCAGGTTCGATTCCGGTCAAGGGCACCTATCTCAGTTGCAGGTTCCTCCCAGGCCTGGGCCCTGGTCAGGGCTTGTGCAGGAGGCAACCAATCGATGTGTTTCTCTCACATCGATGTTTCTCTCAGTCTTTCCCTCTCTCTTCCATTCTCTAAAAAGCAATGAAAAAACATCCTCGGGTGAGGATTAACAAAAATAAAAATAAAACACACAAGGAAACAAGCCATCAGGAGTGCGAGTTAGCAAAAACAATAAGCACACAGATTCAGACCCCCAAGAACTTCAGATATTGAAATTATTGCATAAACATTATAAAATATATATGTGTGAAATGCTCAAAGGAATTTAAAAATAAAAAAGGAGAAAATATGAAAGAGGGATAAGAGGTACAAAAGATAGAATGAGAAGTTCTAACTAATTTCTAATCAGAAACCTCAAAGAAGAGAATTGGTACAGTTTTTCATATGGAAAATAATACAGTAACTAATAAATAATGATACAAGAATAAGCTCTATGTTTCACGTATTCACAACCGTAAACCGACTTCCCCCCACCCTGTATTTACAGAATGAGCTTTCACTTACTTTACGAGGTGGTGTGGATTTCCCAGAATCTAAATCTAGATCGAGGTATTCCACTTGTTTGTCTCCTTTGGGCTTGATCATAGGGCTGCTTCCTCCATCAAGACTGCTACTGCCAAAAAGATTCTGAAAGGACAATACAACAAAATCAACTGCCAAACTTTCAGGAGACATATTGGTTTTCTCACTTGCCATCTACTAAAGCCTAAATATTTATTCCAAGAGGACATAGCTGGAAAAATGTCTGGTTAGAAAACTAAATAACTTTTTAGGATCGGGGAAAAATAAGTAATGTCTCAAAAAACTGATCAAAACTTACTTTAGAATAAGCTAAAAGTAGTGTCAAAAGTCAAACTTGGTTCAAACCAAGACTGGGATGTCAAGCTACTATAAGTTTTGACAGCTCAACCTGAATATTATTAAAATGATATATGTATTCAATTACATATTTATTTATTTTAAAATATATTTTTATTGATTTCAGGGAGGGAGGAAGAGGGAGAGAAACATCAACGATGAACGAGAATCATCGATCGGCTGCCTCCTGCATGCCCCCTACTGGGGACTGAGCCTGCAACCCAGGCATGTGCCCTTGACTGGAATTGAACCCAGGACGCTTCAGTCTTCAAGTCGACGCTCTATTCACTGAGCCAAATCAGCTAGGGCTCAATTATATTTTTAAACTACAGGATCCGTATGCACCTTGCCTTCAAATTAAATTTTTTAAAAAAGTTCTATATTTTATTTAAAGGCTTTCACACTGAAATTAGTTTAGAATAAGTATGTTAATGAAAGCTTCTAGAACAGTGGTTCTCAACCTTCCTAATGCTGCGACCCTTTAATACAGTTCCTCATGTTGTGGTGACCCCCAATTTCATTGCTACAAATTGAACATAATTAAAGTATGGTGATTAATCACAAAAACAATATGTAATTATATATGTGTTTTCTGATGGTCTTAGGCGACCCCTAAGGGGTCGTGATCCACAGGTTGAGAACCGCTGTTCTAGAATAATGACCCTATTGGCAAACTGTATTTTATTTCTACCATCTAGAATTTTTACCACTTAATTTCCTGTCTTCTCTTGGTCTTATCCCTTCCATCCTAATAGGATTTGTACAAGAGTAGGACTAGTCTCTAAAAAAAAAAAAGATAAAGAAGGGAGATAGTGGACAGCAATTTTTGCTAAGGTTAAACAGAGTAAGCTGTGATTTAGGGCAAAGACAATTGCTAGGAAAACAGTTTACCCCTCATTTGTAAGCAGGGCTGCTGACAGGCCGTGTGCAATGCTTTTGTGAATTAGAAAAAGATGCTCTCCTTCCTGTGGGGTGTCCAGGCTCTGTGCCAGGCCCTGCCGCGGGTGGACGGGACATGGTCTGGGTTGCTCCATAGCTCGTGCGTGCAGCCTTTTGTACACACTACACACTGTAGGCAGGGTGATTATGCAGTAACCAATCTGCACCACTGAATGTGATGGCTCATTAGCAGGAACAGATTTTTAAACCAAATTTATCAACTATTCCTAATACAACATGCAGGGGACAAAAAAATAAGCAAGTTTTGGTACTCAGTACAAACAGCCATTTTCCTCCTGCCTTTTCCCCCTAATTCATAAAGAAACTGATTTTTTCCTTTAAGTGAGGTGATATTTCATTCTAACATAAAAAAATCAAGCAGGTGTGTATATGTGTGAAAATTTTTTTGTATTCAAATGTGACCAGTGGAAGAACCTGTACCTGGAATTTCTCTAATTGGAAACACCTTGAATTCACAGTATCACAAGGCTATGAAAGGACCCAAGAGTTTATTTGATGTACACGTTTAATGTCAGTGAGTTGTTCCCAAAAAGAATTTCTCAGAATTGCTAGGTAAACTGTTTTCTAATTATTACTAGGACTGAAAATTTTTTCATCTTGAAGTATTGTTAAAATTTATGCCCCTATTTGCTCCTGATCTAATCTCAATTGGGAACAGCCTGTCACTGTGTTCCAGCCTTTAGCCCAGTGTTTTCTCAAAACAGTTTAGAAAAACCCTAAGATTCTAGGAGTTATTATGAGTGTTCTGCGAATTAGAAGAATAAAATAAAAACAACTTTGTTTTCCTAAAATTATTTTAAAAGTGTACAAAATTATTGAGCATATTTTTGTTGTTATTGTTACATAACAATATTTGTCTTTAGTAATGAGGTATTTGTCATTCGAATTTCAGGAGTCACATTAAGGGCTCAATTCACGAATGCTTGACTTTGGATCTGTGTATAAATGAATAGGCAGCATCCAGTATAAAGTATTTTCTTGGATAGTTTCAAAAATCAAGTACATCCTATAAAAATTACAACTGGAAGCCTTTTAAAATTAATTTTATTTCTACGTTTTAGATATTGATATTACACTTAGACCCTCTACTGGTTTTAGACTTTAGCATACTATTTTTAAAAAGCAATAACAAACTGTCTTTTATCCTTTTTCCTTAGGTATAAAGCAAGATGTAAGGATAAGATTGATAGACTGGGAGAAATAAGAGAGAAGTTAAGATGAGACTTTACATACCGAGTCTTCACCAGATAGGTTTGGATTCATGGGTACATAATTCTCTTCACTATCGTGTGAGTCGCTGCTTGAGGTTGTGCTATGCACTGAACCCGGTCGGGGAGACATGGGAAACCTAGAGGAACTAATTACAAAAATTATCATTACAAACACAAACCCTGACAAAGTTTCTAATATCACTTCCAAAATAAAATGAGTGACAGTTTCCATTCTTTCAGAAATTCCCATTTAAGTTTATAATAATCTATTTACACATTTATTATAATAAAAGGCTAATATGCAAATTGAATGAACGGTGGAACGACCGGTCGCTATGATGTGCACTGACCACCAGGGGACAGGCACTCAATGCAGGAGCTGCCTCCTGGTAGTCAGTGTGCTCTCACAGGGGGAGTGCCACTCAGCCAGAAGCTCTGAGCCAGGCTCCAGCTGGTGAGTGCAGCAGTGGTGGTGGGAGCCTCTCCTGCCTCCGTGTCAGTCAGACATCCCCCGAGGGTTCCCAGACTGTGAGAGAGAGCACAGGCTGGTCTGAGGGACACCACCCTCCCCCCCACCCTGCCACCAAGTGCACAAATTTCGTGCACTGGGCCTCTAGTTTATTATAATCCAATTTTAGCACACATTCAAACGCACAACCAGTATTTATAGCTACATTGCAAATGTATATTTTGGGCACCAAATGATCTGTGCAAAACAAAGAAAAAGGTATTGTTAGGGATTTGGAGGATAACTAGAAAGTCAAAAGATATAAAAAGAAAAGATTTATGAATTCCCATTGAAAATAACTATGTATACCAAGAAACATGAACACATATTCAACACAGGTTGGTAACTTTATATATTCATTTCTTTATATACATTTAAATGAATCTTAATTAAATAAGTTCCTACCATAGAAACTACCATACTTTCCATATCACTTAGTTCTTAGAAATTTCTAGCCTCATGAACCCTTTACACTCTTAAAAACTATTGTGAACTCCAAGGAACTTTTGTTTATATGGGTTCTAACTATTGATATTTACCATATTACAAGAAATATAAAAATTTTTAAACATAAGAGTAGACAAATACACATTCTATTTGCTGTCACACAATCTCATCTAATATTATGCAGCCTCTGGAAAACTCCAGTGTACACTCATGAGAGAAGAAGAGTGGAAAAAGCAATTGACATCTCGGTATCTTAATGAAAACAGTTTTGATTTCACAGAACCCCCAAAAGGAAGCTTCCCAGACCGTCCTTTGAAAACCACTGTTCCAGGTACTGTATTTTCCATTATAATGAACAATCAAGCTATATATTTAAATAAGACTTACTCTCGAGCAAAACTTCTAGTGATGGGAGACCTAACTGGGGCTTGTAATTCTTCCCATTCTGGCAAAGGTTTTATTTCTAAAGGTGCTGGCTTGGCTGGAATAAAAGAGAGAAAAAGAGATTTTTAGTATACAGAAATCTGGAAAACAAGACCAGATCCTCTCCCTATATATTTATACGTTATAGACAGAGTACATCTAAGACCAACTAGTTTCACAGATGAAACAATGTTTGTGGATGTTTATATGATTTGCCCAAGATTACACAGCTAAACAATTAGTGACAAAGTTAATCAGGTAATGTTTCATGATTGTTGACTGAAAGCCTAAAGCTCTATTGCAAACATGTTGCTTCTTAATTTAAATATTTTATGAAGATAAACTAAATGATAACAAAAGAGAGTAATGTGATGCAATTCCTTCACAGTTACTTGATTTATACTTTTCATGATTTCCTTATTTTATTTTTACCTAATTTTATCCTTAAATATGGAAATTTAATCATCTATGTAAAAATGTTCCAATTCTTCAATATTAAAGTATCAGTTATATAACTACACAATAAAATAATGTATGAAAAGCATTAAATACAAAATTTTGTTAAAATAAAAAACAAACAAAAAAATGAATGACTAAATTTTCTAAATTACTTCATGCTCAGTCTCTGGAAACAAAGAAAACAAAGCAATAATTATATCTTTAGACTCAAATTCAGCTCTGAGAAAAGGCCATAATCAAGCAATTACCTCTACCAAATTAAGTAAAATTAATACATGCTAATATTCTTATTTGTTTTATTTATAAATGGTCTTTGCTTATTTACCTCATTATTGTAGTGACAATAGCTATGCTAGTATAAACCACAGAGCTCTCGGCCCTTCACATCAAGACTGAAACACTTCAGAAATTAATTAAATGAGCAGAAGAACTAAAATAATATTATTTGTTAATGTTAATTATATTTTAGGAAACTATTTAAATATACTAGATAAGTATTTGTCACCTTTCATCCTGCCATTCTAAATTAAAAATTTTTATTTTTCCAGGTTTCCTTCTAGTCTTTGTCCATATATGTGTACTTTTAGCCAACTATGTTATAATTACCATCAAACAATAAAATAAGTGGTCATTTTAAAGGGCTAGGTAGATTCACTGGTGCTCAAAACGAAGTTTTAACTCAAATACAAAAAACTCAATGTGATTTTCTAAAGACTAGATTGATTTAAGTTCAAGTTAAAATAATTTTGCTCATCTATACACTTACAATGGATATGTACAGAATACTGTGTTGACTGAAAGTATTTCTTTAACTCTTATATTTCCCTTTTTTTGAAACCCAAAGGTTAATAGCAGTTTAGTTGTCAAATTCTAAGTCATGGGATAAAACAATTAATCCATGGGAATGAGTTTGCATTCTAGCTCAGAACAGAAAACATACATTATATATAAATATAGGAGTTGACTGGAATTCACAAGCAGCTCACAAGCTTAAAGAAAACAATGTATGGAAGCCTAAAGGGTTAAAAGAATGCAAAAGGACAAGACTGATTATCACATATTATCAAATGTTTAACATGCTGCTGTTAATGGCATAACAAGGAGACTCATTTTATATTACGGGAAGCATTCATTAGAAATAACATGCTGGGAAGCTTTATTTACAAAAGCAGTGGGATTTAAGGCTCTATCTTTACTTTTCACAAAATAATTAAATTCCCAACGCCCCATCCAGCATGCGGTGCTAAAGTACATACCCTTTCTTCTCGTAGCAAAGTCACGTATGCTTTGTGAATCAGTTCGCTCTAAACCATGGGGTTTGGGTCTTAAAATTTTAGGACTTTGACCTAATTGGTAAAAAGAAGACTCTCTTAATATGTTATTTTTTAATGGGAAAAAATGGACTCTGTAAAAAAGCAACAGAGCCCTGAGCAGAAATGTTACATCTCAAAAGCATAAACAAAAGTTCCTTGGTGGAGATATTTCAATCTTGCTACGCATCACTCACGCTCAATCCACTGGAAAAGAGAAAGCTGCATGCAACAATATAATATGCGAAGTGTTACAACAGGTGGCGGGGTTTAGTGGGATAAGTGGCCCAGTTAGTTATCTTTATTTGTGGGAAGGAGGAAAAAGACGTTCCATGTTAGCTCTTCTAACATGCCTTAGAAAACTGGGTCAAATAAAAAACATTTTAAATCCCTCAGTCAGATCTCAAGTATGTCTTTTCTTTAAAGTTTGGTGTCCTAATAAAGTACTGAGGCCTACCTCCTTCCTCAATATTAATTTGGTGGAGGTATTTTCAAAAGTCTCATCTGACCATTCCTTTACCTCCTGACCAAACAAACCCCTTCTAGAGAGGCATGTGGACGCTGCAGTGCTTGCTAACCCAAGACCAACATTTGTTTCCCCTGGACACTCAGTGGTGTCTGGTGACATCATTTTGCACGGATCAGATGTCTACATTCTGGAGCTGCCGAGGGTCTAGCTTCAATGTAAGGATTTAAAAACACAAATTCGTTCGCCATTTTCTTTCCATGTAATCTCTGGCACAGACAAGTAATGATGAAAAACCTGGAAAAGGCAGGGTCAATACCCAGCAGTTGGCTTCATCCTTTTTCCCACATGAAGCCTGGATGTCAGAGTAGCAGTATCATTTGGATAAGTTACTTAAACTACTCTATTCTCAATGGTACCAAATTTTCTTTTTTTCATGGCTTTTACAAAGCTGAGTTGACATCTATTAGATGGCAAAATAAGAATCGATGATATCTGCACCTTATCTACCCAAACCTAAAAGTTTCTTAAAATGTGATTGCCTAGAGCCCAGCTGGTGTGGCTCAGTGCTTGTCAACCTATGAACCAGGGCACATGCCTGGGTTGCGGGCTTGATCCCCAGAGTAGGGGATGTGCAGGAGGCAACCAATCAATGAATCTCTCATCACTGATGTTTCTATTTCTCTCTCCCTTTCCTTTCCTCTCTGAAATGAATAATATACTTTTTAAAATGTGATTATCTAGATTATAAAACATGAACATTCTCTAATTAACCAATTTTCTGAGTTATGCAATTAATACACTGAGTTAATTCAGAAATGAAGCAGGCCTACTTTAAGATGTGAGTGCTAACATTTTGGGCCATGATCCTACCCCTAATACTGACCTATCCAGGGCCCATGCTGGCCGGGCACTTTTCTAAAACAAAAGGGCATGTCAGCTTTTTATACTTCTCCAAAATAGTGTATTTCCATAAGAAAATACATTTATTTTAGAGCTGAAAGGCCTTTACAGCCCAAACCCAGCTTCTTCATTTTAGGGATGAGATATCCTTGAAGATGAAAAGAGGTTAAGTGACTTGCTCAGGTCACACCATGCTCCTGTACGATCCCATTTTGTTGTACCTCTCTATCCTTTTGGGAAATAGAGAATCTTAGAAAATCAGTGTTTAGAGTTTCATTTTGAACTCCTCAGTTGCTTGAGATCTTACATCGACTTGAATGCCACAGATGGTGGATATGTGAGTGGGGTGATGTTTAAAAATTACAAATTGCTTTTAGAGCTACTTTTGGTTTGTTGGTGCTTACTCAGTGTGTTTCTCTGCCCGCCTCCTTTTCTAAGAGACCCGCTTTCATTAGCTCTCAGCTTCTGCCTGATTTTTCACTGTGGTTTATCTAACAGTGGGTCATTCCTTACATCTCTCAACTTTCACCCTTGGCATCTTACCTATATTTGTGGTTAAATAATCAAGGTCACATGACTTCTAACTCTACCTAGTTCTGATCTACATACTTCCACACTTCAGCTGTCTGACAGGTCACCTCCAATTATCCTTCCAACATTTGACACTGAGGTCATCATCTCTCCTCCAAACCAATGCCATCTCTCAAGTACTCCCAAGGGTACTCCTTGGTTTTTTTAATAGAAAAATATGGTATTGAGTGAGATTTTTAAAGTGCCTTTAAAACATTTACATGTATTTTCTCAGCATCCAGAGCTCAAGGTTGATTTTAGGAGAAAAGTTGCAATGTGGATAGGTTGTACTGAACTGTGCTGAGTCGCTGAGACATTTTGTTAGCTTTATTTCTCTCTATCCTTCCGAACTCAATAAAAGTCACGCCCCATGGTGTAAATACGCTTGTCGTGTGATGTCTTCTTCTCCTTCTAGGCAAATACTTGAATGCTTTTCTGACTGTTGAAGAAAGGTGTGAAAATAAAGAGTGAGAAATAAGAAAGGCAAAAATGAACCAATCTGAAGATAGACTGATTCTCAAATTCGGAGTGTAAACAGAGGAACTCATTTGAGCCTCAACTTTTAAATCCAAGGCAGTTATGACTTGGCTTTAGCTGGACGAGGTTGGAACAAAAAAAGTGACTTTTTTTTTTTTCATTTGGCAAAAAGTGCCAACTACTGCTGAAATTCCTATTGTGCTTATCTCCCCCAGACTGTCAATCTCTGGATCATGTGTTTCTTCCTTATTTGGAGCACAGTTTGGTAAACCTTAATCTCTGGTTCAGATCTCTGCTCCAGATCCTAATCCACATATCTACAAAACCACCCGCATGGATGGTCTGCAGGCGTTGGCACTACATGTTCAGAAAGGAATTTATCCTTTGACTCACCCACCACCAACCTGCTTCGCTTCCTATACTCCTGGTTCCCACAGCAGATCTCTCAGATTCCACTTTCTCACCTCCCTATATCAGGTTTACTTTATACTTATACTGACAATGTAATAGTTTGTTTTCATTCACCCAAGAATTTAAAAAAAGATCTGAAAGTCTGAAGTCCTTCCTCCCTTTACTAATGTCACATCAGTTACCTGCTTTTTGGGGAGCGGAACTCACACTGTGCGGCTAAATGACCTCCCCTTTACTGCACGTGCCCTCAAACTTTAAAAATCACTGTAAGTCCCCACGTTGAGGGAGCACTGAGAGCCAGGAAAGGCCTTTCTTATTTGATCATCTCTAAATCAAGGCTTCAAGAACCCTGGACTTGGAAAACGAAGGCAAAGCACTCTCTGAGAAAGATGCTGAAAAAGGTATAATTTTAAAATACAATAACAATATTTTCTATCAGATCATTCAATCTTAGAATGAGCTTTCTAGAGGCCAGCCTGATTATATTACTCGCCTGTATAAAACCCTTTCATGAGGTGCTCAGAATAAAGCCCAAACTCATTAGCGTGGATCATAATACTCTCAGGATCAGGCACCTGCAAGGCATTTGGCATCCATTCCTCCATTCTTACTTTCCTCCCTCCCTCCCACCCACGACTGTGCCAGACCCATCTCCCCTCTTTTTAAAGGATCTGGGCATGCTGTTTATTCTGACTAGAAGATCCTCTGCCACCCTCCCCTCCTCTACCATCATTTAATTGCCACTCACCCACTCAGACTATCCTCAGGGGAGCGTAGCTAATAGTGCCAAGAGCTTACCTCAACCACAGCCCCTTCCATGCTAATTATGATAATGTGTTTACTTTCCTCCCTCCTCCACTGAAGGTGAGCTTCTTCAGGGAAGCCATCTTTCCTTCCCCGACAAGACCTAGCAGAGGGCATGGGTAAGCTGGTAGGCACTGAAACCTACCATATTTAAAAAGCTGTGGTGTGTAATCTGATCAATGTCATAATTTTTTGTTTGTCCTCTAAGAGGTAAAAAAGAGTGAATGAATGTTTTAAAAGTTGGTCATCCCCAAATACGGTCACGGCAGTCACATGAGGTCATTTCAAATAAGCAGATGCCATCTTTTTGCAAAATCCATGAACTTTCAAATATTATTTTAATAGGTACTGCCTCTATATTCATTCAACTCAACGTGGAATTATTTATGCTCCTCCGAACTTTTACAGATTATGTTATTTCCAGTAGGCATCTCAAAATTCAGGAAAGAAAACTAATTTACGTTATTATTCTCTGCTAATTCCAAACAGTAATCAAGGTAGCATATGAAAAACTTTCCCACTTGTTTTAATGGTCTCACTCTATAAAGAATAATAATAATTATACTAGAAGGTCCAGAATGTTTAGGGGGAAAAAACCCCACATGTAAAGGCGATGCCGTAAAAATACACTTCATTTTCACTCCCTTTACATTGTCACACCAAACAGAAACCTAACTGAAAGTCAAACTTTAACACTTGTTTATTAAAACCTAGTTATTTTTGCCAGTGTCATTCATCCATCATCCATTTATTATAGCATAAAAGCCATTTTGAGAAAGCAAGCTAATTTTTAATTACATTCAAAAACTTCTTTAGAAAATGTCTTGAAAAAATGTTTAGAGCAAATGTATCACTGTGCCCAGAAAAGACCCACCCAAGGAAGCTCCTCACGATGCTTCCTGCACCAAAGCGACGAGCCAGACCTGATGGCACTTTAACCAAACTCATGTACCAAAACACCAGAAGTAACTAACCTTGCACCGCTTTTTCCAAACCAATACCATAGCGAACGGTCAGAACCACTGCAGAGAGCCATGAATGGACAAAGCCAAACAAAACAAAATAAAAAAGACAGCATCTGAGGCTCAAACAGCTGCTCCATCATGTTAGAAGGAGACTGAATCGGGGAGGGGGTCTAGACAAGTGCCGTGATTAAATATGGTAGATTTATGCAAAGACTGACTTTAAGAGAAGCTACGATAGACATCTTACAGAAATTTCTCAAACTTTGCAATAGCTTTTCTATGAAAATATAAACATTTCAGTGAAAACAATCAAAACATAATTTGTGCTGCATTTCCAAGGACTCATCTGCTTTCCTAATATTTAATAGAACACATGGAATGATGTATTTTCCTCTAGTGATATACATAAAACTTGGTTCAAAACAAATACTATCATGACAGAAATGGTACGGGTAAAAATATAGCTACCACAGGCTAGGGGATTGGCGAAGGATCCATGAAAATACATTAAACATATGAGTTTAGAATATCTCTGTATTTCTGCAGCTTCAGTTACTCAGAAGTATTTGAAAAACTCATCTGCACTACAAACTACAGCAGCTGACATCTATAATTGGGGGTATAAATAAGACTAGAATGTCACTCATTTATTATAGACCCTTCCAAAGATACCCCAGAAACTGGCAATACTGGATGTTGAACCAGGCTCTGAAACTAATCAAGCCATATTTGATAGAATTAGGTTTGTTTATTGTTATATTTAGTTAATAAGAGATACTAGAATAATAGATTGAGTCATGTATCTGATGTCACAGAATGAAAAATTTACAACAGACTCATCTGATGCTATGATAATGAAAAGAATTTCATGACCAAATAAGACATTTGTTTTACAATTGAAGTTCTGAAGAATAAACTTTGCTTCAAGATCTAAATTTAGGTTTAAAATGTGTTTTTCTTGAATAGTTAAAACTTTCTAGAGTAGGTTGACAATGTTTGTCCTGCAATATTAAATACCTTCTTACGCATCCTCTCTTGTATCATATTTACTGAAAAAGTAGGACAATACTAAAGAAAAGCAAAAATATTTTGCTGGAATTGAACCTGGGACCCTTCAGTCCACAGGCCGATTCTCTATCCACTGAGTCAAACAGGATAGGTCAACATTTTCTTTATTACTATGATTTTAGTAACTATTATTTTGCAAAACCCATTCTCCTTGATTTTGCCAAAAACTATGTGGGTATTTATTCTGGGTGCCTTCTCAGTTCATTTTGCATCTAAGAAAAGATACCAAATAAATATTCTGGCCCATGCACTCAGAACTGTCTCTCAACAGTCCAGCTAATTTTATAAAAGACTGAACACAATCTCCAGAAGTCACCAAAAACCTGCTTTGTTCTGTTCTAATGTGAAGTCACTTTATGGAGGTCAATTACTCTGCTATGTGCTAGAATATACTGTCACTACACACATAGGGAGGTGAAAATATACAAATATGTTATATATATATATAACATATCAGATATAGTATACTAGTACATGCCATATTATTATGATATACTGTCTATTATAATATGGGGCACACAAGCTCTGTTAGATCTAGATGATACTAAAAGCATTATTTTACAACTTTTCTAACATATAAGTAAGGATCTTTTCTGATTCTGCATTAAGCTTACCACATAGAATTATTAACTGTGAAATCGACCAGGAATTGTCAAACTGCATTCCCCACAGCCCGAGGGGAAGAAGGAACAGGCAGGGGGTAAAACAGGTGGGAGTCGGAGCCTGAACCTTATCACCTGTACCACCTCCACATTTACGGGAGACCTCAAGACATACAACTGTGGCGTTTGTCGTTAAAAAGTGCAGCTCTGCTGCTACCACGCACTAACTACAGAAAAATAAGAAAAGAACCAGTGTAGCGTTAAAATGAATATTTCATAATTGCAAAGAGTTCGAGACACTTGTAATTTTAATCCTTCAGCGACCTTGAGCTCAATGATAAATGTACGCATGTCCAAAAATGCTTTCACACATTGCAGGCAAAGAAGAAAACGACCAATAGTGTCTACATACGTTTAAAGACAAATGAGGACAAAGAGTAAGAGAAGGAAAAATTATTAAATAAAAAGCCAGTGGTGCGCACACCCTTTGTAAGGTAACCGTCCGGATCATGGCCCTGCTTCTGGGGCTGTCTGGGTGGCACGGATGCTAAACGTGGCCATCTTCCCAGCGGTTGGACCAAAGGTGGACCCGGGACCCAACAGCAGCCAAACTGTGGCCTGGCCTACAATCTACCACATGGCTTGGTGTGAACGGCAAGGGAGAGCAATCTCTCCGAGTGACCTGAAGTGCGTAAATAATGAAGGAGGCAATTGGCAGATGTGGAAGCTGCAGGGCATGTAAAAAGGGGCCGCGAGGCAGAATCCAGGCCAGCGAGGGGGCACTGTAGGCCCGAGCTCTGGGAGAGCAGAAAACCAAGTCAGGTAGAGGATACAGAGCAGAGGAACACAAAGAAGGGAAGAATGTGAGAGAGAACAAAGCAGACGCAAAGACTTCCCACAGGACAGACATGCAGAGAGCAGGACAAAGTGCCAGTGGCCTAGGGGTGCCTCAGCTCCCAATCACGTTCTCACTTCAGCACAGGAGTTTCCTCACTTACAAAAAAAGGAAACAAAACTCACGTTCAAGTTACTCTGAGTGAGAGTCTGTCTCCCTTCCCCACAACTGGTACTTAATTAGAATTAATATTAATGATCTAAGCCCAGGCTAGTGAGAAATTTACACAGACATGACATGCTCTTAAAAAGCTACGTATAGCTTAGCCGGTTTGGCTCAGTGGATAGAGCGCTGGCCTGTAGACTGAGGGTCCCGGGTTCGATTCCAGTCAGGGGCACATGCCCGGGTTGTGGGCTCGATCCCCAGTGCGGGGCATGCTGGAGGCAGCCAATCAATGATTCTCTCTCATTACTGATGTTTCTATCTCGTTCTCCCTCTTCCTTCCTCTCTGAAATCAATAAAAATATATTAAAAAAAGAAAAAGATAAAAGCTATGTATAGCACATGAGACTTTTCAAATGTGCTGAATACTCCAGAAGTTGTGCCACTGGTCACAGCAGATTTAATAACTTACTCAGTGGTCCAGATTAAGTCACATTAACAGCAATGCTGCAACACAGCTAGCTGTGAGGGTCTTAACCACTCAAACCCAAATTGTAAACCTTTAGTACATATCACCCATTTGGCTGAAAAGTTTATTTTCCATGGAGTTCTTGACAAACCATGCTACTTGAGAATTAATGTTACTTATGAAGGCCAGTACGAAAGAAAAGACTAGAAGCATTTATTTATACCCCAGCAAGGAAGAATAATTTTTAAGAAGTTGTTATACAACAGAATGGAAAGATTATACAAGCAATCTCACTGTCAGGCACATTAATTATCTCAAGTTTGATTTGATACTATATACTCTGGTTTGATCTGCAATGTTTTGTTCGTTTAAAATAATTAAATTAGTTCTTAGAACTTAAAAGTCAAAAGATAATACACATTAAATGTGAAATTTCTGGTTTCTCCTGATACATCAGAAGATTTGCATGTACGGGTCTATATTATTTTCACAAGTCAACAAAGGATTGTGGTCCAGGAGCAGTTAGTTACTCCAATTAGGGCACTCGAGTTTTTCCTAATTCTCTCCTCCTCTTCCCTGCCAATCCTTGTGAGTGCTTTAGTTTGTAACCTGTGCTGTCGAGACAGGAGATTTAAAAATCGCATGTAGGCATCAACATAATATAATAATTATTCATCTATAACAGCAATATCGCTTAAAAAAGTTAATAACTAAGGTAATAGGAAATACTTCAGAATTTCTAGTCCCAATCCTGTTCTGGATTTAATGACAGTTCAAGGCAGAGCTAGACCCTTCTGCTATGCCCTGCTCTGCTTACCTTTTCGGTCCGGCTTGAGGTTCCTATCCACGGGGGGTGGTTCACAGTCTGCAACGGGGACGGGCCTTCTGGGAGGGGTCTTTGGGCTGGACCTGAAGCCCATATGAGCAGGAGGAGGAACTTGCATTCCAAATGAAGAGAAATCAAACGTCCCTGGGGTCATGGGCACATAATTTGCTTCCTGAATGGGCTCTGTAAAACTGCTGGAATGCTGTCTCGGCGGAGAGTTGGGATTCATCGGCACGTAATTCTCATCCAGCTCTTCACTTGATACACTTCCCACTGTCAATACATTTTTGATTTTCTAAAACACACATACATTTCTTTTAATAAACAAAAACTGCTGTCAAACAGGAAAACATAATTGTACGTCACACCTATTCCTACGGATCTGAAGGGGCTTTTATTTCATGATCTCATTTAATCTCAGGGAACTAAGCATCAAGATTTTTGACAATGAAATATACACTCGATCATGCCAAGGACAGTTATACTTACAAAGTGGTTATGGAAGCCTTCAAGGGAACTAGATCTATCACTTGGAAATGTTCGTGGAATATCATAGCAGTCTTGAGAACTAGCATCTAAAATAAAGAACAAACTATAAACATTTCTTCCCACATTTGCCAGCTCTCAGGGTAGTCAGGAATGACCTATTCTTTCTCTCTCTCTTTAAACACACACACATGCAGGTACATATGCACACAGGCCTTAAAAAGGATGCTCACAGAATAGTATCTTGAATTGGTACGTTAGAAAATGCAGGCACTCGGTCACATGCTAACCAGTACCAGTATTTGATTATGTCAGTGAGTGACTGTCTAAGACTGGGGTCGTGGTGGGTTATCCAAAAATGGAGAAAGATATACTTCTATTTTCTTACCTTTTGCACCACCTTGGGCTTCAATTATATCTCACTAACTTACACCCAGATTGCCCAAACACTTCAAGGGAATTAGATGCATTAAATCTTTATCTTCTGTAAGACAGCTGGATAACTCCACCATAGTTTTTAGGGTGTGGGAATTTTACACTTTGACTTTCTATTTTTAGGATATTAAGAATCTTAGGGTATAACCCAGACTCAATTTTTCTCCTCTCAAGGTCTGTAACTTCTGGAAGGCTCAAGGAGACAGAGCAGGAATAAGTGAAGTGACGAGGAATAAGGAGAGAGAAGATTCAGAGCTTTAAAAATAAAAAACAGCAAACAAAAATCAGAGTTGCTTGATTGGGACTGATGATTACCTGCTAGACACAACGTAAACACTGCTTATCTAGCAAGGAAGGAAATGGAGCCCAATCGATGTGACACATAGAAGTGGCCCTAAGGGCACAAATACAGGAAAGGGTATGAGTCTCAGAAGCTGTGTGGCTGGCCCATTTCCTGCTCCTCTGCCCCATCAGGGTCTATCCTTCCATGATATATAGCAAGAGGGAGAGAGGGGTGCAGACTTCCTGAGGCGGGAAAGAACTGCTAAGGCTATACTTCTTCAGGGATGAAAAACTCCAACTCTTTGTCCCTTCTGGCAGAACACACACACAGGCACACATCTCTCTCTCTCTCTCTCTCTCTCTCTCTCTCTCTCTCTCTCTCTCTCTCTCCCTCTCCTTCTCTCTCTCTCTCTCTCTCTCTCTCTCTCTCTCTCTCTCTCTCTCTCTCTCTCTCTCTCTCTCTCTCCCGGGAATCTACTGAGACCCTGGTATCTTTGCTACATGAGTGGGTATCTGCAGGATTGAAGAAACAAAGGACTATCATTTGGTATCCTATTATGCTTAACAGAACAAACATTCAGCCTGGCAGGCGTGACTCAGTGGTTGAGCATTGACTTATGAACCAGGAGGTCACAGGTTCAATTCCCATTCAGGGCACATGACCAGGTTGTGGGCTCGATCCCCAGTGTGGGGCATGCAGGAGGCAGCCCATGCATGATTCTCTCTCATCACTGATGTTTCTCTCTCCCTCTCTGAAATCAGTAAGAATGTATTTTTATTTTTATTTTTTAAAAAAGAACCAATATTCAGAACAACATGTTTTCCATCATGAACCTCTAATAGAGTAGAAGCCAAGGAGCACTGACCTTTCCGCAGTTTGTTCAAATCCACGGTGGAGATGGTGTTACTGCGCGAGGGCGGCATCCCTGCGGTGGGAACACAGTAGCTACTGTCGGTGTCCGAGGCCGTGCGTGTGATGCTGCCCGTTTCCACAGGAGATCGGTCGTGAGCCAGGTGTGGTTTTGGTGGCCGGGGGGGAGGGATATCTGGAATAGTGTCTAGCTTTGACGTCTGGCCCAAGGTTCCTTCTGGAAATGTTCGTGGAATCTGATAAGTATTACCAGGTGCTGGAGGAATGTCATAGCTAATAGACACGTGCCTCATTTGAGTCTCTATACTCGAAGTCCCAGAGGGGGTATTAAACACGTAGAGTTCTCCATCGGCCTCGGTACTCGATGGAGACGCCTTTGGTAGAACGTCGTGGGAGTAACTCCTGGGCAGGTTGTAGAGGCTGGAGTCCACAGAAACAGACACGGCGCGAGGCGGCGGGGAGTCATACATGATTGGCTGCTGGAAGAAGCCGTTCACCCCGTGTTTGCTCTGGGAGGAAGCAGGGTTTTTATGAGCAGGGACATTATCATTGCAGTCTGTTTCAGAAGAGGTGGATTTTGCCGAATCAGCATGTGTTCTAAATAAAAATTGTTAATGACAGAAAATAAAACAGGGTGAGGACATAAGACTGCTTTTTAATAAATATATTAACAGTTTAGCAATCAAAATTCATGGCTTTTTTCATGAGATTTTTTTTTTTTTTGGTGTGATCCATGAGATTGAAAGCACAAATGCTGCTCATTTTTATGATTATACACCAGACAACAAAACCGCCACCACAAAACCACCAAAGGCATTCTTCCTAATTTCTGTCCTGGACCTGCCCACACCCCTAACTCCACCTATTAAATCCACACATAAAACCACAATCCCTGAAGTACTGGAATTAGAAAGGTAAATGATTAAGGCACAGACACAAGGAAAAAAAGCATTTCCTCTGAAGAGCATGCAAAAACGTGGTGCCAACACAACTTATCAAGGTGATCCCATTGCTCTTTAGCCCACCTGTGGCTTATCTATTGTTCTGTACCACTGGAAGTCTAATGATTACCTGGCATTGAATAAATTCAGTGTGATCTACGGGGGGTGGGGGGGGGTGGGGGGGTGGGCGGGGGGGGGGGGCAGGGTAGGGGGGGCAACTTGAAAGGCTTGGTATATCTTCCTTTCTACTAATTTTCTTTAACAAGCATTTAGCCAATACTGTAAAGTCACAGAGTGAGCCAATTCCAAACTAATTAACCTTGAGGAATCTCATTAGAGTATATTTTATGCTTTGGGTACATTTTCAGTCTCTGCATTTTGCCATATCACAAAATGTGGGTAGAAGGCAAAATGAAGCTACGATCTGGATACCAGCCCACTCCGTAATGTTAGGATCCCTAAGCTACCTATGCATGCTGTCTGAAGTCCTGTAGGAACTTAAACTTACTAATTTTAAAAATGAACTTGTCAGAGATTTTTAAGGGCTTTTCTTCCTTGACATTTTAGTAACACCTGGCTCTACGTACTCTGTATGTTTTGGCATTCTCCTCTGCTGCTATAAAGAACCCATGTTGTGATATCCTAATTTTCCTTGTCCCTCACTGATCATCCCCTTGTTCATTGACAGGTTCCTTCTTCCTGTCTCTCTGGCTAGGAATGGCCAACAGAATTCAATCCTCTCATTCGTGAGCACACACACCATTAAAAAGTCCTCCTGTCTCCTACCGTCACCTTCCAGCGAATGCTGACATCTTCCATCTATGAGTCCCGTATTTTCCAACTGTTCATATTTCTACTTGGTTATTCCAATAGCTTATATGTATCAAACAAAACACAACTTTGACAGCCCTTTCCGATTTACCCTTAAAAGAAATGTCCTCATTCAGGTTCTCTAGGCTCAAAACCCAATCAGCTTTGATTCATTCTCTTTGATCACCACCATCACTCAGTCACGAAGTCTTTCTTCCTAACCAAGTGTTAATCCCTTGCCCTATTTTCACTGTCACCAACCCAAGTTCAGGTCTCTGCTAAGTTCTATACTTCTGAACCCTCCTAAGTAAACTTCTGTACCCTAGATTCTTTTTCTTCCAATCTATGCATGGGATCATACTGCTATGCTGTGGTAAGATCAATATTTTCAGCCCTAGACAGTTTGGAAAGAGCATTGGCCTGTAAACTGAAGGGTTCCGGGTTTGATTCTGGTCAAGGGCATGTACCTCGACTGCAGGCTCCTCCCCGGCGTGGGCCCTGGTCGGAGCGCGTGCAGGAGGCAACCAATTGATGTGTTTCTCTCACATTGCAATATTACTCTTTCCTCTTTCTTCCACTCTCTCTAAAAGTCAATGGAAAAATAACCTCAGGTGAGGATTAAAAATATATTTTTTTAAAACATGGTTTTCATATCACTATACACTTAGAGAAAATCCTGTTTAAGATCTCTATGGGTGTGGGAACTACAAAAAGCCCACAAACTACTCCCCTTAGCATTGAGGCTTACTAATAACCTGGCTCCACCTTTTATGTCCTATTTTATGTCCTACTATTCCGCAAACCAAAGCCTTTACTCCAGCAGGCTCTCCTCCTCATCTTCAACCCAGCACTCTCATTTTCACCTCTCCTATCCCTCAAGCATTTTTATGCAAATTACTAATGATAGCCTCCCTTTCTCTTACCAACCAGGTGTGGCTCAAATTCTACTCCTCCCTGGGAAGGAATTTCCAACATACTTACACATTTTCTAAAAATGTGCACTGTCAGTGAATTCAAACATGTGAGTTATAAGATGCCAGAAGCACAATGAGCAATAAACTTCCTACCTTTGACTAGCTTATAGTTTAGGGGAGAGTGAATAAAAATATCAATCTATTTCCAATTCTATGATAAAACAGAGATATGAAGGTACAACCAGGATGCTATAAAGACCCACAGTGGCATTTAATCCAGCCGTGGAATTTGGGGAAATGTTTCCTACATATGTCTGACTGAGACTTGCAGTCTGAACAAGGGTTTGCAATTCTCCTATCTTGCCTCCATCTATAAATGCTTAAAATATTTACATGTTTTGACTTTTTCACAGGTTTACTTGTAAACTGTGAAGGTGACTGTATCTGAGGGGGCGGTAACGTATGTAATTAGTTTGTACCTTCAGAGCATTTAACAAAATAGTGGGCACATAAATATTTGTTAACTGTCATTTTTGCAAAAAAAGTAGATGCAAAATATATTTGAGCATAATTTTGATCACAACAGGAAAGCTGTGATAACAGTGAGATCAATGAAAGATTTTATATAAAAAGAAAATGTACTGAAAACTGTCACTTAACTGTTGGCTTTTTAAAAAGTTGATACTGAAAAATAATTGTGACTCTCCGTAAAATAAAATCTTAGTTAGTAGCATTGGTAACAAAGTTGCAAGTGTGTAATTTTACATACTCACGGCAAACAAGCAAAAATCAAGTTAGAATTTGGTATTATTAACTAGTGTTGATTTACAAATTATTTTATTTTCTCTTACAGGTAAAATCCCATTACAACAAATATATAGAAATGCATCTTGTGAGTGTTTGATTCCATTATCTCAGGGAATAGGTCACAGAAATGAATTTGTGGATCTTAAAAATTCTATATAAAATTTTTTAAACAAGTGCTTTGTGTATTTCTAGCCTAGTCACTGTCTACATGAAAAAAAAATCTTTTTGTTATAAACAATAATGCTTAGTATCCAATAACCCTGTTTAAAAATCTTTCACATCTACTATGCAATTTATGTCCACATTTATACTACAAATTCAGATAATAAATATACCCAATATCATTAGTTGTCACAGCTGTTAATGGCATTGACAGGCCTCCTGATCATTATTTTTCAGCTCCAACACTTACCATGACCTCAAGCCTTCCAATTACTCAATACCAAATTAAAATATCTTACAGCTCAGAAGAGAGGGGTCTTGGAGCAGGGATGGAGATGACGGGAAAAGCAGGATTTGGGAAGGTCTTTATGATACCTCTGGTCAAGCACCGAAATCCACATACTTCTTTCTACTTAAAATTTGTAAAGGGAAGGCTTGGGTAAGCTCCACTTCACTGCTAGGTAGGAAAATCCACCTTTCATAGCTTTTAGCAATATATTTGATTTCATCCAATTTGTGTTTTCCGTAGGTTTTGCTATATTGGGATTTTACCTGTATGATTTCTCACACAGATCCAAAGCAACCACAACACACTCACTGCAATGGAATCGTTTTGCTTTCAAAATCTTCTAGTAGTAGGTATTCCTCTCCTTCTTCAGAAACAAAAGATGACCCTTGGCTGGTTTATAATCACATAAGAAATGGAGCAAGATCACCATTTTAAATCAGTGAAATCTGTTAAGCAAGTAATACTGTGAGTCTGTAACAAAGACTATGAAACGGAAGACAGGTTTCCCAAAGAGCTTCCGGTATAAGTGTTCCTTGCCAAAGATGCTAGAGAACATGTTTCTTCAACAAAACCTCATGAATAACAGAGATCATTCGTGGAGGAATATAAACTTGAAATATATGCATAAAATAGAAACCTATATGGATGGTTTCTTTTAAACCTTAAAAAAGTTTACAGGTAAGATTCCTAAATGAGTGTGCACGCTCATACATACACATACACACACACACACACACACACACACACACACACACACACACACACACAGAGGCAGGCATATGTGGTTTACCTGGTGGGTTCAGGCGTCTTGCTTTGACAGTTGATTAGCAAGAGGTAGTCTTGAGGATCCTCCTGGATGCCAAGAGTCTCCATATGTGGTGGCAGGTTAATGAGCTGATATGGAGGAGGCTGGGCACCAGAGGACAAGTTCACCTGGGCGGACGGTGGTGTTGTAATGACAGCCGACGGTAAATCCACTTGCAAGGAGCTGCCAGGGGGCTTCACAGGATCTGCGACACCAAAGTAGGGCTGTCATTCTCTATCCCATGTTAAGAATTTTTTTCTAAAGCAAAGCCACTTGAAAGTTTGGAGGTAAGTTGTTTAAATACATGGAAATAGGCTAAACCAGTGATCAGCAAACTCATTAGTCAACAGAGCCAAATATCAACAGTACAACGATTGAAATTTCTTTTGACAGCCAAATTTTTTAAACTTAAACTATATAGGTAGGTACATTGTTATTAACTTAATTAGGGTATTCCTAAGGCTTAGGAAGAGCCACACTCAAGGGGCCAAGAGCCGCATGAGGCTCGCGAGCCGCAGTTTGCCGACCATGGGCACGATCCTGTCAGTTAAAACAAATACGACCACCTAAATGACAACATTTATACAGAAGATAACTGTTTCATATTAAAGAGATCTGAAGAGCAGGGATCTGTCTTCCAGAGGCTGTAAAAGAGCCATGGTTAACCTTGCCTTGAACAGTCTTTATCTTTGAGGCTCCTGGAAAAAAAGATGATCTACCATATTCTACCATCTTTAGCACAAAAGGCAGATTTTTTCCATGATGATAAAGTGCTTCCTACGCCAAGCCAACCTTCCCAGGTGGCCATGTCATTACGTGGCGCCTACAGGTCCATGGTGCTGCGGGTACCAGGGTCAGCTCTTGACCTCATCTTTATTCTGCTGCTCATCTTTCTACTTCTCAGCCGACTAGGGAGAACTAGTTCTAACCGGGGGATTCACGTTCAGGGAAAGAGCTTTTCTTTAAGGCATCCCCCCTTCCCTCAACTCATCATCTCATTTGCCATTTATTGGATTTCTGTAGGATTTTCATGCAAAAGGTGTCAGCAAGTAAAGAAGTAATTTATTAAGCACTTAACTAAGGGCCAGGAACTAGAAAGAAACTTCCATTATGTTCATTAGCAAGCTCATGAAAGAAAAGACCTTCCAACAGCCACAAAAAGCAAGCCCAACCCTCCCACACGACATGATGAGCAACGTTCTTTAAAAGGAAAGGGACACTGCCCTACCACTTTGGCTCAGAAAATGCACTATTTTCCAAGTTTCGTCTTCAGGATTGTTTTACTCATGTTAATCTGACCATTTACTCAGCTCTTCATATTTTAATGTAAGCACTGCATTGTCTTATATTCTATAAATAAAATTTCTGGCCAAAGTTAATCAACTGACCTAAAAAAGAAACTTCTGTCTTATAAAAACATGTCATTTGCCCCCATTCGACTCTACAAGTCGTTGAATGGACCATGTTTGTTGCTTTTTGCCTCACCTAGGTTTCTAACTTACTGCTCTTCCCAAGTAATGTTGGGATCAAGTTTCTGAGAACCAAATATCAGTTTCGGGTTTGCTTATGTGTGTAAAATTATTTTCTGAGTTATTTCTTAATTTAGAAGGCATGAAGAGTATAATCAGCACTCATTAAAGGGCTAATAAGCTGTTGGAGCAAACTCCTAATAGAATTTCACTTGGAAAATGAATGAACACCGCTAAGGAAAGTCTCCACCAGCTTTCAGTGGAGAGAATTAGATTGGTATGTGAGGAGAACCGCAAATAATAAATTGGTCTGCAACTGTCCCTAGCTTAACGCACAGTTTTATCCTATTTGAAACCCTACTGACGTCACAGAAGTTGGGCTGCCCTGATAATGCCTCTAAATATTCAAAAGAATATACATGTTTTTCTAATCAAATGGCTCAAGAGCTGAAACCCAGGGAAGCAATTCTACTCTTTCTTACTGGTAATGAGAATATTTCAAAGTTGATGCCATAGGTCCGTGGATTTTGTGACACTAACATGCTGTATCTGAGCATGTGGTAATAAAACTGTGGTGTTGCTCATGTCCCTGTTGGACCAGAGGAGATCCTTTTCTCTGAAGATGGGTGACATTTGCTAATTGAATATGCTCTGGGTTTCTATTGCAAAAGTGTTATCTTGATGCTCATAATTAAAGGTAAATAGGTCAAGGTTACTCGGTTTCTATTGATTACGGACTTATCTGGTCTGTTGAAATTTTTTTTTCCTGTAAAGAGAAGCACTTTGAATAGATCTATGTCTACATAACTTAGCAAATAAGAGCCCACAAAGAGTATGCATTATTATTAATGCTAAAATAATCTTCTCACTTCTGAACAGACCATTTTTTTATGAAAGAACATTTTATAAATGTAAATTTCACAAATGGATACAAACAAGAAACAGCAGTAGATGCAATTTACAGTGAAGCAACCTGCAGTTTCTTCAGTTTATTTAGTCAAATATTGAAGACCTCTAATCAAAGCCCAATCTATTTAACGTGTTTGAAGTAGAAATTTTTTTTATCTTATTTGTCATGACCATCTCCTTCACAGACTGTGAAAACTTCCTTGGAGACATTGAAACTAAACCTTTAGGAAGTGGTGATAAATGCCTAATTCTTATCCCAGAGGTGTCATGACATCAGAATCACTTGTGGGGTATTTTAGAAATCTAGGTGCCTGGGCTCCATCTCAGGAGACTCAATGAATCAAGATCTCAGGGGCAGTAGTTTCAAAATGTATAATAAAACAAAATAAATTCTCTGGTTGACTTGATCCCCAGGAAAATGCAAATTAAAACTACTGTGAGATACCACTACACATTCCCTAGAATGGCTAAAATTAATGACTGACAATACCAAGTGTTGTTAGAATGCAGACTAACTGAAAGTCTCCTACACTGCTGGTAGAAAAGCAATTAATACAATAATTTTGGAAAACTAAAGCTACTAAATCTTCTAACACTAAATGTGTATATATATATATATCATATGATGTAGCAATTCCACTCATGGGTACGTACCCCAAAAACTAAGTGTCATGTCCATCAAAAGACATGTGTAAGAATGTTCACAACAACTTTACTTATATTAACTAAAAGCTATAAACAACCCAAATGTCTATCAACATTCAAATTGGTCAAAAGTTTGTTATACAGCCACACAGTGCAATGCTACATAGGATGAAGAACTGCTACATGTCACAGGGATGAATCCCACAGACTTAAGATTGGGAAAAACAAGCCAGACTCAAAGGTTTTATTTATATGAAGTTCAAGTATAGGCAAAACTAATCTATGGTTATAAATGCAAAACAATGGTTATCCTTGGGCTTCTTTTTTTTGGGGGGGGGTAGTTATTGGGAAGAAGCATGAGAAAACCTTTGGGGACTAGAAATTTCCATTTCTTGATCTGAGTTTGCCAATTACACAGATTTCTATGTATAGATATAGATGCATATATAAAACTACATTGAACTGTACACTTAAGTTCTGTGCTTTTCATAGTAGTAAGTGATACCCAAATACAAAGTGAATAAAAAGAAATTTAAAAGTTTCCTAATTAAGAATCGGGAGAGGAAGCATATGTGTAGTCTTATGTGTTAGTTTAACCTACTTTCATTATTATTATTTTTTTTACATATTTTCTGTTATTACTTTCAGGTGTACAACACAGTAGTCAGACAATCACTAACCTACTTTCCCAAAAAGAAGAAAATCAAACCGAGAATCACACTATTTTTTTTTTTTTAAGCCACTATTATCTGGGCATTTTGGGCAAAGTATCTCAACTGATAAGAGGCAACTTTCTTATGGTGCATCCTAAAATTAGAGCAGGAGCCTTTGCGCCAAGTTAGTTAGCTGCATACAACCCTTAGGCTGTGTTTCCCGGCACTTGTTCAGCACATTTACCAGCTTCCAAGTCGGTGTAGAAACAAAAATAAATCTGCCCATTTCCAAGAAAAATAAAAGAAATTAGTTTCTATCCTCAAATCTACTAAATAAAAGCCACTCATAGGAACCACACACAGTTCAACCAGCTTAGAATTCAAAAACAGATTCAGCATGCCAGCATTCTGAGTATTCAATAATAGCAGTGGTCACCTGGGGCAGCGGAAATAACATGGTAACGATATTTTGAGAGGTTCCTGGAATCAAAACACAGGTCAGAGTTTTCCCCTTTCCTTTTGTTTTCAGGAGAAAATTAGTTATTCTCCTAGGGACTGGGGATAGTTATTTTCTCAGACTACAATATCTAAGCAGAGTCTATTTCTTCACATGTCTAGCCTGAAACTAGTATAATTAAATATCATTTTGTGTTATCAGTTTTAAGGCATGAATGGGGGCATCTTCAACTCTCAAGGAGACAGATGTAGGTAAAAACAAAAACACCTACTTAAAACTAATGTGGTATCCAAATCCAGTAATTGGACCCCCCCCCCCCCTCATTTGGAAGCAAGAGAATATAAAGCAAGTAGTAATGGCATTGATATTTACCTGGTCATATTAAACTGTATGAATGTGATCATAAAGGATAATAGCAGTTCTTGGAGGTTTATTTTGATACAAATCTTTAAGTGTGTAGATGTTTTTAAAACAGAACCTAGCAAAGTCAGCTACTCCAAAGGAATAAGGAAATTCAGTGGTTGATTTTAAAACCTTATAGCGTGAAATATTTTTGTGGCTCCCTGATACTACACAATGAAGAACTGTTCCTCTTTTACTGATTTCTTCCAAGAAACTCATGTCTTCAACATCATATAGTCAGACATTTCTTTTGTTGTTGTTGCTAATGCTCACCCGAGGATATTTTTCCATTGATTTTTAGAGAGAGTGGAAGGGAGGAGATAGAGAAACAACGTGAGAGAGTCACATCGATTGGTTGCCTCCCAGGGCCGTGCCCTGACCGGGAATTGAACCAGCAACCTTTAGGTGCACAGGATGATACTCAACCAACTGAGCCACACCAGCCAAGATGAGCATTAGAAATTCTTATTTGGGGGGGTTCTCAACACTACTTACCCCTAAATGAGCTTCCAAAAGTTAGACACTCATAGTCCTTAACTGAAAAATGTAGCTCCTCTAAGAGGGGCATCTCATTTCTTTTGTTAAATATATTTAGGAGAATTACAAAGAAAACAAAGAGAGATGGAAGAACACCTACTCAGTCTTTCAGATCAGTCGAATCTATTAAAAAAATAAGGCAACCAATGGGGATAGAAGTCTGCCTTTATGTCCCCCCAATAAATTCTAAATTGGAAGGCAGCAGGCAAAAAGAACATCGGCAAGAAGGTTATACAATGACTTAAATTATTTTAACTAAAAGTCCATCACATGACAAAACTAATGTGGTATCCAAATCCAGTAATTGTCATTACAGAGTGGTTGTTAAGTAACCATTAAATAAAAAGCTATCTCATTTGTGCCTTTAACTTTAAAATCCTCCACTGCACTCAAATATAGACTGTATATGCAAACAAGACAGGAAAGGAGTTTAACTCGAGTTAGAACTAATACCCCTGGCCTACTTAAAATGTGAACATATTTAGTAACTTCACAAAAACAACTGAAGCCTTAACTCCCCACATGAAGCCCTGTCTTGAGGCTTTTAATCAGAGCTCTGGTGAAGAGCTCTCGTTCATTAGCTGCCTCCTGTCTAAACGGGATGCCTCCCTCCTTCCCTCTCTCTGCACTGCTCCCTTGGGCATTCTGCAATCCTTACCAAGGGGTTTCCCCAACCCCGCTGGGCCAATCCCAGCCCTGGAAGGCCCTTCTCTTGGCCTGCTCACTGGCCAGAGAGGAAACAGCATGCTGACCTAAGCTAATTAGAGATGATTACTGTTTCATTTCAACCCCAAACTTGATGTTGATTGTTAATACAATTTTTCCACCCCTCAATGAATCTCCAGCACTCCTAAATATAGATATTTGGAAATGCACACTTGTGAACTTGAGTATAAATGTGAAGACAATAGGGTCAAAGACATTATTCCTGATTCTTGGCTCTGCAAACCTTACATAGGTTCTTAGTGTTTGTTTAACAAGGAAGAGAAGTGGACAGGGGATACGTGGTCAGGACAGCCATATACACGCACCTGGAGAGGAATTCCACTTGTAAAACTCTTCCTGAGGCCTCTTCCGAGGACAAGCACCCCAAACCTCAGCTCCTCTAGCAACTCTCCCCTGGCCTTTTGGAGTCAAGGAGAATTCCATTCCTCCTCTTTCTAACCCCTAAGACTGGAGGGTTCTGCACCCCTCCCTTCACTTACGTAGAAATACTACTTCCTCCAAAAGTCCTGTGTTTTCCTCTGAGCTTTCTTCACTACCTCTTTTCTGAACCTTAGGCCCCCTCTTACCTCTGTGGTAAGTAAACTCATTGTACTTTTTCATCATGTTTTGTGATTAATTCTCATTTGCTTTTCATAGTTATTGACACCTGCCGTGGCAACATAGTTTTAAAAATAACTAAAGAATTACATTGAGCCACATGAAAATGCTGCTTTTAATTGGCCAAAAATATCAGCAATGTTATAAGTTCAAAGTAATATTCATATAGGAATGTTATAAGTTCAAAGTAATATTCATACAGGAACTCAAGAAAGGCTCTGAAATAGTATATCTTCTTGTCACCTTCTTCTTCAGGACAATTATTTAGACACTGCCCCACAATGGTTAAATTTCTCTTTCTAAAACCTATAAAAAGGTGCAGCCCAGTCTGATGAAAGGGTTCAGTTGCTTTTTCCAAATGTTATTACTATTATAAAAAAATCCCAAATATTATATCGTGTAACTGAAATAACAAAGAATTTCATAACCGTTCTAAAAATGCAATAATAAAGGAAAGAGGTTGAATAGGAGAATCTTGAACTTACCTTCTTCTGTAGGATTAAACCCACAGATGTCGCAAATACAGCGAACCCACTTATTCATCTCTTCCTCGCTGTCTGCTACCAAGTAGAAAATCCGGTCAATGGTGTTGATATCAAAAATGTAGCTGTTTTCAAACTCTTTTTTGTTAAATGTCAACCCAGCATCAACTTGCTGACATAAATTTAAATCAATAATGCGGATAGGCTTCTTGGCATGATCATTTTTGTAATATTCCAAGACGTCTGGATCTCCAGTCAAACGGCCACTGCGTAACACAAACCATCTCCTCTTCCACGCCTAGAAACAAAACAAAATATCCACCTCGTGTTAACTTGAGAAAGTTTTCAAGAAGATGCGCATTTATCAAATCAATTTTACAAAGGCATTGTCTAGAGAAAGTCACATACAATGTTTTCTCTGTTTCCATAGACTTATCTACCACTCCAGTGGAGTTTACTGATGCCCAAATTAACTTAATAATGTGTATCTATACATGTTTATTACTTTCTACTAGGCTCCTAATACAATATGAGAAGATATTGATTGATATTAAAGGATATCACACCAATATGTGATATCAAGTCAACAAAACAAGGAAGATTTAGGTATTACTAACTAAAAAAGCAGTGGCTTCAACAAATGATGCTAGAAAAACAGATATCCACATGCAAAATATTGGACTTAGAGTCTTGTCTTACATCATATAAAAATTAACTCAAAATGGATCAAAGACTTAAATGTAAAAGCTAAAACTATAAAACATGACAAAAGCTTCATGACATTAGATTTGGCAATAACTTCTTGGATATGACACTGTGAGCACAGGAAACAGAAGAAAAAATAAGAGGAAACTGATCTACTTCAAAATTTATAAGTTTTATATGTTGAAGGATATGATCAACAGAGTAAAAAGGCAACTCAAAGAACCAGAGAACATATTTGCAAATCATATATCTGATAAGAGATTAATGTCCGGAATACATAAAGAACACCTATAACTCATTAACAATAAAAATAAACCACCCAATTAAAAAACGGGCAAAGTGTTTCAATAGACTCTCAAAGAAGACACACAATTGGCCAATACATGAAAAGATGTTCAATATCACTATCATTAGAGAAATGCAAATCAAAACCATAAAGAGATACCACTTCATACATATTAGAATAACTACTATCGAAAAAGCGGAAATGTTTTGTATTCCTGGTAGAAATATAAAACAGCCTAACTGCTGTAAAAAACAGTATGGCAGGTCCTCAAAAAATTCCAGTTATAGGTCTATAACCAAATGAATTGCAATCAAAGTCTCAAACAGGTATTTGTACACCTATATTCATAGCAGCATTATTCACAACAGTCAAACACTGGAAGCAACCCAAGTGTCTACTGATGAAATAAATACAATTATATATATATATCCTATCTAATAAAAGAGAAACATGGTAATTAGCGTATGACCGCTACCCTTCCCATTGGCTAATCAGGGCAATATGCAAATTAACTGCCAGCCAAGATGGTGGCCGGCAGCCAGGCAGCTTAAAGTGAACATGAGGCTTGCTTGCTTCAGTGACAGAGAACTCCAACTTCCCCTCCTGCCACTGCAGGACTCTGAGCTGCAACTCTAAGCAACTATGTTACAAATATAGAAACTAAACAAAACCCCAGAAACCTGCTTTAGTCCCTCGGGCTTCAGCCAGCAGGATCGCAACATTGTTTCAAATACAGAAGGTAAACAAAGGCCAGAAACCTGCTTTCAGCAGCGGAGGCCTAAGAGCTGGAGCCAAGCCTCAAAGCTAAAGCTGGCCCAGAATAAAAAAAAAGAAAAAAAGGAGCGGTTGGGAGCTTCAGTCACTCGCCAGCCTGAAAACAGCCCTCAGCTCCTCACCCAGACTGTCCAGGCACCCCAGTGGGGACCCCCACCCTGAAGGGTGTGTGACCAGCTGCAAACAGCCATCATCCCCTCACCCAGGCTGGCCAGGTACCCCAGTGGGGACCCCCACCCTGATCCAGGACACCCTTCAGGGCAAACCAGCCGGCCCCAACCCGTGCACCAGGCCTCTATCCTATATAGTAAAAGGGTAATATGCCTCCCAGCACTGGGATCAGCAGAGCCAAGAGGCCTCCCGGCACCGGGATCAGTGTGACAGGGGGCAGCGCCCAAATCCCCTGATCGTCCTGCGGCTCTGTGTGTGACAGGGGAAGGCACCCCAACCCCCTGATCAGCCCTGCTCTGTGCCTGATAGGGGGAGCTACCCATGCCCATGATCGCCCTGCGGCTCTGTGTGTGACAGGGTGCGGCGCCCCAACCCCCTGATTGGCCCTGCTCTGTGTGTAACAGGGTGCGGCGCCCCAACCCCCCCCCCCCCCCACGGGCCCTGCTCTGTGTGTGACGGGGTAGAGCCATAACCTCCCCATCATCCCTGCCCTGAGTGTGAGAGTGGCGGTGCCCCAACCCCCTGATCCACCCTGCTCTGTGTGTGACAGGGGCTGGTGCCCCAACTCCCCTATCGGCCCTACTTTGTGAGTGACAGGGGGGAGCTCCTCAACCCCCTGATCGGCCCTGCTCTGTGCGTGACAGGGGGGAGCTCCCCAACCCCCTGATGGGCCCTGCTCTGTGCATGATAGGGTACAGAGCCCCAACCCCCCTGATGGGCCCTGCTCTGCGTGTGACGGGGGCGGCACCCCAACCCCCTGATTGGCCCTGCTCTATGTGTGACAGGGGGTGGCAACCTGCCCATTTACCCTGCCTTGAGTGTGACAGGGGGCGGTGCCCCAACCCCCCAATCGGCCCTACCCTGAGCGTGACTGAGGGTGGCATCACAACCTCCCGATCCGCCCTACTCTGTGCATGACAGGGGGCGGCGCCCCAACTCCCCAATCGGCCCTGCTCTGAGCCCAACCAGGGGCAGCACCTAGGGATTGGGCCTGCCCTCTGCCACCAGGGAGCAGGCCTAAGCCAGCAGGTCGTTATCTCCCGAGGGGTCCCAGACTGTGAGAGGGCACAGGCTGGGCTGAGGGCCCCCCTCCCCCCCGAGTGCACAAATTTTTGTGCACCGGGCCTCTAGTATATATATATGAATATTTTTCAGCCTTAAAAGGGAAGAAAATTGTGGCACAAGCTATATAACATGGATAAACCTTGAGATGTTATGGTAAGTGAAATAAATCAGTCACAAAAGGACAAAAATTGTACGGTTCCACTTATATGAGGTACCTATAGTAACCAAATTCATAAAGACAGAAAGCCAGGGGTTGTGGGGAGAGGAGGAGGAAGAGTTAGTGCTTAATGGGTAGAGTTTCAGTTTGGGATGATGAAGACGTTCTGAAGATGGATGGTAGCAATGGCTGCACATCAATGTGAATGTACTTAATGCACTTAAAAATGGGTTAAAATTGTAAATTTTGCTATGTATATCTTACAATTTTTTTAAAGCAGCAATTTTTTATGTGTTAACATCATGCCATAAAGAGTACAGACAAAGGTGCTTCTTCAAAACACTTCATATTTTAGGCGATAGGTCTCTCTCTGTCTCTGTCTGTGTGTGTGTGTGGTGGTGGTGGTGGGGGGGGGGCTCAGGTAAGAAGTAGGGAGGATAAAAATGGGTGTAGAAATGTTTCTGGTTTTTTACCTGGAAAGTAAGCAAATAAAGTAAACAAGTAAGTGGACTGTGTCTTCCTTTTGGCTAGGCTGCTGTTCAGACTACATGGATAAGAGCTGTATTTTTTTTTTTTCATATCTTCACCTGAGGATATATTTTAGAATTGATTTTAGAAAGAGAGGAAAGAGAGAGAGAGAGAGAGAGAGAGAGAGAGAGAGAGAGAGAGAGAGAGAGAGAGAGAGAGATGAGAGTGAAACATCGATCAGTTGCCTCCTGCACGCACCCTGACTGGGGATGGAACCCACAATGCAGGCATGTGCCCCAACCAGGAATCCAACCTGGGAATCCAACCTGCAACCCTGGAAAAAGACAAAAAGAGAAAAGAAGGGAATGTGTCCTTTTGCTATGGCTTATGTGTCACTCTTTTGTCTTCTGGTTAACTGTGGCTTCCCATTCATTTCATTGCCTATCTGTTGAAAAGATATCGTTAAAATATACAAGGCCCCTGGAAACGAAAACAAACTGCCAAGAAATGAGTAGCAATGAATCGAGGTGCACCAGACAGATTGGGCTAGTGATTACAGACGCCTGAGTAGACATTATATAAGAGAGGAACTCTTTACAGCAGGAAATTACAGCATTAAAACACAGAATTTAGCCAAGCAGCACCTGCCACTTATTTATTTATTTTTAACATGGTCCAAATGGGAATGTTTGTCTCGGTCACAAAATGAGTCACTCTCATTGAATCTGGCACAGATTAAACTGGGAAACAAAAGCAATTACATAAACCACACACTTTAATAAGGCAGATACAAAGGTTCTCTGGATTATGGTACAAAGCACAATTTAGCCACAGAATAAAGCTGGATGCTGGATGAGAGAACTGACATCAGCACCCTTGCTAATCACAGCACAAAAGCTTCTCTATGTTTTGTCAGAGCACAAAATGGGTCCACATAAATCGGTCTTTGTTATCCGAAAATATCTGGGATTCTTACAGTTTGCCCTATTTTTATCCTTGCTGCCTTGGTAGCCCCAGAGGAAACTGTACATTGCCTCACCAGGGCTGCAGAGCAGTAACCGACAAAAGGGGACACGTTTTCTAGAAACTTTCAAAATCAAGCCCTCAGTGCAATTTTCCACAAAATACATGTGGAAAAAAAAACCTTTTTAACTACTGGACTCCCATTACAGGCAGGTTTGCTTGAGAGGAACTGTGCAAAAATGTTTGTGGTCATTTTCTATATGTAATAGTCACTGCAATTTTAAGTAAGCCCTCATCAGCTAGAGTGCATTTTAAAAGCACCATATTCTGACACCAGTGCCTCATCTCAGGATTTCAGGATTGACGTTGGCTACGGCATTAACATCAAAAGAGAACAGCACGCATAGTCCACGAATCCCAATGAAAATATACCTAGATCAGGCTGCCACACTAAATAAATATCTATAATGTTTGGAGTATATGCACTGCAACTTACACATTCCCTAAGCTCAGCGGGTACTAGTGTCTGCAGGGTAAAACCTAACTCTTGGGCAGGTCACAGGGGCCCCAAGTCTTCCCTACCTCTTCCAACCTCACTTCTTGCCTCTCTGTCTTCCACCCACATGGGAAAGGCCTGCAGTTCCCCTAACACTCAGCTTCTTTTTTGCCTCTGGCCCGGACACCTGCTCCCCCTCAGCACATAATCCAG